GCCGTAGCTGGAAAGGGGAATCCCCTGAGCCTAAGTTCGGCCGTAATTTTAGGGATAGTCCATGCTTTCAAGGACGTGGTCGTTGAGGGGGTGAGAGATTCGCATGGAAACTCTGGTCTGATGGGCGTAAACGGAATCTCTTTGGGCAACTCTTCGATAGGGGCTGGTTCTTGAGACATTCTTTTTTTTTTCAATGTGTTTTATTTAAGTGTGTTTTTCAGCATTCAAATAACACAGGATACAAATCAAATGAGGGTTACAGAAGAAAAAAGGGGAAGGGGGGGAGGGAGGCAGCTTGCATAGAACATCACGTACAGTACAATGTCATTAAGCAAACCTTGATATTAGGTCAAATGGAAAGTTATCAGTTGGACCAATATGTGACAGAATAATAGTGGAAATACATGAAGACAACCTGATATCAGACAGATTACAGTAGAACACTTAGCACAGAGAGTTGGATTGGGAAAGCCCGGGGGGGATTGGGGACCGATTATGAGCCCTGAGGAGGAGGCTCGCCCTTCCTATAGTCTATCCAGACCTGCCATCGTGATCTGTATTTAGATTGGCTGTTGGTCAGCCGGCTAGCCATGCGTTCGTATGTATGAGTTGAGTCTAGCCTGCCTAAGATTTCTGACAGCGTTGGTGACAAAGAGGACTTCCATCTGTCTTGAGCCAGCAATGACGCCTTGTAGTAAGGGTTAATGTTGGGAACACCCAAACCCCCTTTTGTAAACGGGCGCCAGAGTGATTTTTGCGCTATTCTGGGGGGTTTCCGTTTCCAAATATGAGCGTTTATCATGGCCTGAAAGTTCTTTAAAATAGGATTAGGGATTGTAATGGGGAGGGTGCGGAATAAGTATAAGATATGCGGGAGAATCATCATTTTTACAGTGTGGATGCGTCCTAACCAGGAGATCTCTTTCTCCTCCCATGTCTTAAGTTGTTGTTCTAGTCTGTGAATAAGTGGTAAGTGGTTTTCCTGCACTATTGCTGCATGTCTTGAAGGCAGCTTTATGCCCAAATATGAGATGGAGGAGTTCCGCCATTCGAAGGGATATAGTGATTTCAGAGGGGAGAGGGATGCGTGTGACATCCCTATCGCCAACGCTTGTGTCTTTTTGGCGTTGTTTTTATAGAACGAAACCTTGCCATAGTTCCCCAAAAGGGTTATCAAGTTCGGTAGCGATTTCTCCGGGCGTGTTAAAAATAGGAGAACATCGTCTGCGAATAGGGCTATTTTTTGGTTCCCTATGGGGGTGCCTAGGCCTTCAATCGTTACGTCATTTTTTATATGTCTACCAGAGGTTCCATACATATTATAAAGATTAATGGGGAGAGGGGGCAGCCCTGTCTAGATCCATTTGAAATTTGAAAAGGTTGAGAAAGAAACCCAGAGTTAAAAATTCTGGCAGCTGGATTAGCGTATAGGGCCATGATCCCTGTCAGAAAGTCTGATGGGATGCCTACTGCGGACAGGACAGCCCTCATATAAGTCCAATTTAGGCGGTCGAACGCTTTCTCCGCGTCTAGGGCTAACAATATGCCGCTTTGGTTAGATTTTTGGGCCCAGGAGATTAGGTTCAGAAAGTGTCGTGTATTGTCCCCCGGTTGTCTGTTCGGGACAAACCCTGCCTGCTCTGGGGAGACCAGATCTTGCAGGAAGGGTTGAAGGCGATTGGCTAGTAGTTTGGCAAAGAGTTTTGTGTCTGCGTTCAGCAGGGATATAGGCCTCAAATTGGCGCATTCAGTGGGAGGTTTGCCCGGTTTGGGGAGTGTAACGATGTGGGCAAGCAACATCTCATCTGGCATGGTTCCTGAGTCTTTAAAGGAGTTAAAAAGGGCTGTGAGGTGTGGCGTGAGCTGTGTTTCAAATGTGGAGTAAAAGTGGTTAGAGAAACCGTCTGGTCCTGGAGCTTTATGTTTAGGTAATTTGTGTATTGCATTTCGTACTTCTTCTTCCGTGAATTTGGCCGACAGGATTGCACTTTGTTGTGCGGTCAAGCGAGGCAATGTAGCCTCTGTCAAAAAAGTGGTTATTTCCGATTCGGATGGCTGATGTAGTGTTTTGTCCTGTGTAAGATTGTAAAGACCCTTATAGAAGATTGCCAATTCATTCACGATGTCTTGCGGGTTGAATAATTTTGAACCAGTGGTTGATGTCATGTATGGGAGTTTGGATTGAATGTATCGGGATTTTAATCGATTAGCGAGCAATTTGCCCGCCTTGTTCCCTTGCATATAGTGGGTGAGCTTCAGTTTGCGGAGCTGACGCTCCATACCCATCAGGGACAGTTCAAGTAGTCTTTCCCTCACCTTTTCAATTTTGCGGGATACAGTTTTGGTTGGTTTAAGTTTATTGGCTTGGTCTAGTGTTTTAAGTTGGGAGAGTAGATTATCTGATTCAGTAAGGGTGGTCTTTTTATTTATTGCGCCCGCTTGGATTAAAAGGCCTCGTAATACGGCTTTGAGGGCTAACCATTTAGTATCTATGCGGGTGGGATCAGATTGGTGGGTTTCGAAGAACGATACTATACTGGCCCGAATTTTTGTGGCAGTGTCCTCGTTATCTATGAGGGATTCATTCAGGCGCCAAGTGCTGCGCCCACGTGAGGGGTACAAGCCCTGAACGTAGTGATTACCGGCGCGTGATCGGACCATGTCCGGTCACCTATTTGCACCTCAGTTAGATTGGGTACCGTAGACTTATCTACCCAGCACATATCTATACGGGAGTATGTGTGGTGTACTCGTGAAAAATAGGTGTAGTTTGTCTCTGTCGGATAGAGGGTGCGCCAAGAATCATAAAAATCGTATGTATGGAGCAATGTACTGAGGGTAGTGCTCATAGTGCTAGCGTGTTGTAGGGGATGCTTGCCATCGATGCGCTTAATATCCAATTCGGGGTCTAACGTGCAGTTCAGGTCACCGCATATTATAGTGTGTCCTACATGGAGGGTAGAAATTTTAGCTAGCGCTCTTTTAATGAAGGAAGTTTGGGAATTGTTAGGTGCATATATGGATGCGATCGTGAGTTGCATTCCATTCAGTGAGCCCACTACTATGAGAAGCCTGCCTAGCTCGTCTGCATAGATGGTATCAAGATGGAAAACCCAGTCAATGTGGAACAATATAGCCACCCCTTTCGTTTTATTTGGAGCGAGGGCATGGAATACCTGTTGGTATCTAGATGAGTTTAGTTTGGGGGGATTCCTTTTACACATGTGTGTTTCCTGGAGGCAAACTATAGCAGCCTGAGATTTGTGGATGGTTCTAATCACAGAGCTTCTTTTAAATGGGCTATTCAAGCCATTAACGTTCATAGATAAGCATTTAAAATGGTACGTCATCTAGGGGAACATAAGCGGAGCTTATTAGTTAGTGCATAACATCTGTCATCGAAAACCTTTGGTGTCTGACTATGAGTTACACCTATATAGATCCTTGCAGCTGCCGGAGAAATGGGAAGGGGAATAACTTGGGAACCAAAATAAACAAACAAAGGTATATACAGTGTCTCTCGTAGATGAGAGAAAAACATGGGATTCAGAGGGAAGCCTTGGATTTCTAAGATCCTCGAATTCCCTTGGAGGGTCGTGCGGAGCAGGGCCGCACCCGGGCCAGAATCTCAATGTAAGCAGGTCTGGAAAGGGTAATAAGCTTGGGGGAATATGTATTTAGGCAGCAATCTCACCTGCTCTCTACATAGATCGGTAAGGCGGTATAAGGAGACAAGGGCAGCGAATTTGTGGTATCGCCCCGGGGTTGCTGTGTCAAACTATGTACATCAATATTTTTTTTTTTTTTTTTTCTTCTCATTTATAGTTGAGCAGTGAGGCAGTTATATCCCATGGCTGCGTTCTTAGCCCACGGAGGCAACCTGTCATCTAAATATTGTCGTGTCGTCCTCTGAGAAGAGGGGTTAGTGGGCAAATAAGGTGGGTAGGTTCTTGGGGGGTCTTCAATCCTAAGAAGGAGTAGTTAGCATTACGGGTAAGCGTAGGGATGTCAGCCTTCTTGCTAGTTGATTACAGTATGTGGCAGTGAGGTATACGATATCCTGACTACATTAGTATGTATAAGCATATATTCATACACCTAAGTAGGCATATCATTTTTTTTTTTTTCTTCTACTCCCTCTTTTTCTTGGCATACACTCTCTACCACCCCCGCCCACCCCCCGTCCCTTCCTCGTTTGGAGATACATAAAAGAAGAAAAAACGTTTATACAATACCACTCGTGGTAACTGAAAGCAGCGAACACCAGCATTGCACTGATATAAATGTCCTGCGTGAGGCTCCGGACAGCCGGAATCTGTCCATGGGTTAGAGGCTAATGTCCAGCGTAAGTATATAGAAGTAGTCAGTTGATATGTCTTCCTACGTCGCCGTGAGACTTGCAGGTAAGTAGAGCCAGGGAGATGCTATCCTCGGCGGAGCAATCCTCAGCGCCTCGCGCCAACCATCTGCCAGTCGGGCCGAGTCTTCTTCGGGGTGGGTGTATTATCCGCTTGTGCTTGGGTGGCTTCCGCAGGGCCCCAGAGGCCCCATTGTTTCAATGTGGCTAGGCCTCCTATTGGGTCGTCAATGACGTGGAGCTTGTTGTTCCTCCAAATCAGTAGTTTCGTGGGAAACCCCCAACGGTAAGCCTGCGCATGGTTGCGTAAGGTTTTGGTGATGGAGGAGAATTCCTTTCGCCTCGCCATAGTGAGGGCCGAAAGGTCAGCAAAAATCGAGACGGCATTGTAGGGGTCGGGTAGCGGAGATTGGGCTCTGGCTGCCTTAAGAAGTGCTTCTTTAGCCTTATAGTAGTGAAAGCGCACAATGATGTCGCGCGGTACTTCCGCCCCAAATCTAGATGGTTTAGGGACCCGGTGGGCTCTGTCCAGTTCCCACGTGGTGCCGGAGAGGTCAGGGGCCAGAGTGGCACTTAGAGTGGTTATATAGGCTGGGAGCTGGTCTGTCGTAATGGACTCAGCTACCCCCCGGAACCTCACATTATTCCGGCGGGAGCGGTCCTCCATATCGGCCATCTTGTGCCAAAGTTTGGTATTATCCTCCTCCAGCTTTTTCAGTTTGTCTGCCATCAGGTTATGAGCTGAGCAGAGATCATCTGTCTTGCGTTCGACCTGATCGGTCCGGTCACCCAACTCCTCCAGTTCTTGGTGAATACCCGCCATGGCAGTCGTGAAGTCCTCTCTGATTGTGGACCTAAGGTCCATGAGCATTTGCTTGAGGTATTCTTTTGAGAATTGGTTATCATCCGATGTTGGTTGTGAGGGTGTCTCGTTGCAGGGATCAGAGTCTGGAGACTGAGCTCTGCTGGCGGCGCCATCTTGGGCCTGTTTCAGCCTATCCCTTTTGTGGTGGCGGACCGCGTCCGTTAACTTCGTCTGTTTCGAGGGGGACATGAGGACCCGCTGGGCTTTCACCCTCTGTCGAGTTAGGGTAGATCTGGTACGATTTTCTTATTTAGTGTGGTTAATCTGGCCCGGGCGGTGTGGAGCTCCTACTCCATGCGACCGATCTTGCCGGAAGTTGGACACGCCCCCGGTTCTTGAGACATTCTAAAAATGATTTAGTGAATGAAATATTAGAAGGGGAGTAGGGGAACCGGGAGGGACATGAGGGGGTCTTTTAGAAGAACTGGACTGTAATGCTAGTGCCGAAGTGAAAAACTTAACTGTGAATTGGTGATAGGTGAGGCCCTGCTAATGCCAAGTGTCGGTGAGAGGCTCTACCTATGATTTGGCTTAGGGAAATTCGTGGCCACAGATGTGGTGGCGGGGTGTTGGCCTCTCGGTGACTGTTAGAATCAAAATGTGTGGCCGTGACAAGTGAGGCCCTGTAGAAGGGCGAGCGAGGCGTGTAACTATGATTTGGGCGTGGGGCCGTACCTCCGTGTTGAGGTGGGAGATGGCCTCGGGGACCGGATTTTACTTGGGTGAGCTAGGGGCCGGATCCTAGACCCTATAGGCCAGTTCAACTTGTATCCTATGGGTTAAATGGTAATTCTGTTGCAATGTGTGGATACTAACCTTGAAGGTGTTTATGACCGGAGAACTTGAACCTTCGAGTGTTTAAGTAGAGTGGCTTGGCCGCTGCTGGTATCGTAGAAAAAGCCTAGGGGTTAAGACAGATGTTGATGTGTTTGAGCGTAACGTAGGGGCGTATGTTTAGTAGTAGGGGTTGGCTATAGAAGCGTAACATTAGATCCTGAGGGGAGGGATCTGAATGATTAGTCTAAGACTGGGACGAGTTTACGTTGTAGGGGAGGCTGATTGAGGTCTTGCGGTAGCGAGTGCTATAACGAGTAAGAACGTAAGTACCTGGTAATGTAGCTGGGTACCAGGTTAGTTAGGTTGGGTAGTTTCTTGCCTGAAGGCAGTATGACCGTAGGCTTAAGTAGAAAAATGTAGAGAATTTAACACAACAAGGGCGTAGGACCGTGAGCTAAACGGAATAAATAGAGACCGCGTTAGGTCATGTATGAAATGTCCCGTGATGAGTAGAGAATTATACCTTGATTTGTTGCACAAGTACTTGGAAGAGAGTAAGTTTTTTTTTTACGGAGAAACCGGAGGAGGCCTAGAATAAAGGGAGGCCTAGAATAAAACTGAAGCTATGGATTGAACCCATTGAATATTTAAAAATTAGCGAAGGCTGTGACAGTATGTTTAAATAACCAATTTATTCTATGGCAAGTTTAGGGTGCATGCTGCTTGAGGCCTTGACATGGTTGAAACTGAAATGAGTAAATACTATACCTGGATTTGTAAATACAAGGACTTGAATTTGATAACTTTATGCAGAAATACAAAGACAAACAAGGCGATCTGTGGCGCCAAAGAAATGTAACAGGGGCTAAATTAAATGACTGCGTAAACTAGGGAGAGACCATAGCGAAATTAAATGAAATTTAGGGTTTACCAGAATAACCCGAGAGGATCGTGTTATTAATATATGTATTTTATTTAGTTGATTAATGAACCTCAAAACATAGTTTAATTAATTCCGTAGTTGTAGGAAAAATTAACCGAGTACTAAGATAAAATGACAAACTGAGGTTTTAATATTTTAAACATAGTTAAACCGGGAAACACAGGTTTGGTGGTAAATGAATGAAGTAATAAACGGATTTAATAACTCATACTGACAGGTGTAATACAAACAGTTAAATAACCGAACGGGCAGTATATACAAATATGTGTTTAATATAGTTTGTGTGCACGAAATGCAAGTATTTGCATGAACAGGGATTGGTAGTTTTAGACCATGCGGGGGACCTGTTTAAGTTAAGTATGGTGTGCATTCGTCTGATTCTGCACAAATAGGATTATTGCATGAATCAGGTAACCCCTGTATCACAACTCAGTTTTGAATTCTATATGTCGTCTTGCTCAGAAATGCTTCAGACTTGAGAAAGGGAGGCTCTCCCGAAAGCTTGTCATTAAAAAATTCTGTTAGTCCAATAAAAAAGGTAAAAATTTTAACAGTTTTTTTTACACACACACACACACACACATATTATATATATATATATATATATATATATATATATATATATATATATATATATAAAATACAACCTTGTCTTCCAAGCACTATAATTTACATTCAAGGTAAATGTGTGTGTGTGTATATATATATATATATATATATATATATATATATATATACACACATACACATACACATACACACATACACACACACACACATTTAACTTGAATGTAAATTATAGTGCTTGGAAGACAAGGTTGTATTCCTAGTACCCTATAGTGCACCATTCTCCACCGACCGCAACATTGAAAGGGTTCAATTTTTGTCACTTACTCGTGCCGATGTTCCTTGGTGCTGGGCCAGGCTCCATTTCCGGGATGGCGGCAGGGACCTAATTTGCATGTGCGGCAAACACGGCAATTGCATTAGGACTACCTCATAGGAAAGCATTGAATCAATGCTTTCCTATGGTGCTTTAGCAGATGCTGCAGGTCTTGATGCAAAGCGTAGGACATCCAGCGTAATCTAGCAGAGCAAAAATCCCTAAGGACCTGGAAGCTCCTCTAGTGGCTGTCTAGTGACAGCAAGGTAATTATTGCAGTTTATCAATAACTGCAATAATTACAATTGCAAGGTTAAGGGGACATCATAGACTTTATCCAGGCCACTTCAATGAGCTATAGTGGCCTGGGTGCCTACAGCGGCCCTTTAAGTTTTTTCGCAGGGTTACTTGTCTGGATATAGTAAGTTCATCCCACTCGTTTTGTACTGCCACGATATACAAGGAAAATAAGGCCCCATCCTAGGCTACCATATAAATGGGTCCAAATCCTCAGTCTTACATCTAGGATAGCATCTTAAGTGGCCTTCTTGTGTTTATTACAATATTCAATAGCCCAACAGACACATTAAATATTTAGGAGTCCTGATCTTTAGACAGGTTGACTTTTGATATCAAGTTAATATCAAACCATAATATGACATATAACCAGCCAAACAGCGATTGGAAACATATCTCACTTACAATCTTGGGAAGGACGTTCCCAAATTATTATATCCTCTACATATTTTATTACTGATTTTTCTAAAACTTTACCAATTTCTAGTGGCATGGGAAGAGGCCATGGGTGGCTCAGGCACATTTGCAGCAACCTAAATTTGATTTAACAACGTTCATATGCTTAACTATATATTGTGGGTGAGATACCGTCTTGCCTTAGACTGGATCTCAAGGCAAGAAACATTAGCTAATCACTCCCTTGAACAACATTTCTGCCTCAGAATCCATCTCAACAAGTTACTCCATACACCTTAATGTGAAACCTAATTTTATACTCTTTTCCACCATTAAAGTTTGGAAACTTATGTGAATTTAAACTAACCTTCACTGGCGACACTCCAGGTTCTACATATTCTTCTCTAATTCATGCTTCTCTGACTGATCAGCTGTTTACAGGGTCTCCTTATCCTGTACTGGAGATTGCTTGGACACTCAAAAGCATTATCACCTTTATCGCACTTGAAGATGAATTCCCTTCACTTCAGATACCTTTTTCTGACCATCTACAAATTAAAAGATCCATAACAACAGTTCTACCACACTTGACATGACAATGACTAGACAAACCCTCTGGGACTTTCTTATTTAAAACCCTTCCCTTGCCCATTATTCTATCACGTTACTTTACAATTTTATTAGACGGGTCCTAGAGTGAAAAACAACTAAAAAATAAGATAGGTAAATTAAACAGATTTCCTGATGAGATAGCCAAGTGGATAGGTCTCAAGCTACAATCTCAGTTATTGTAGCTTAGATTACTGGTTTTCAAATTATAAAATAAGTTCCTCAAAGTTGGGCTACTGTGCCATTGTGTCTTCAAAAGTAGGGTTGGCAATGGCCACCATGTGTTTAAGAGTCTTGACATGAGGTTTAAGTGGGTTAATGGTCATGTGCTTTGTATCTACTCACTCAGGTAATGCGTACATGTCTTGTAAGTAGAAGGTACCCAATTTATTATATGTATCTGCTTACATATCATTTTTTCTCATTTATCATTTTTATTGAGTGATATTTGCAACACATATCATGGTAAACAGTTACAGTCCGCCTTCACAACAACATTTGCGGATAACATTTTACATTTCGTCCTGTATCCAGCCGTACTTCTCAATCAATTAATCAATTAAATAAACAAACAACCTGTGTAACAGGCGATGTCCGATGTGATGCATACAGCTTCGAAACATGCGGTACATTTAATTTTCTAACTTGGGAGGGGGTGGGATACAGAAGGGAAAATGGGGGGGAATCCCTGGACTCAGCTTCGCTCCACAGCTAGCAGTAAAATATTAATTGTCTTTATTATGTATTCGCCTGAGCACCTCAACGCCCTAACCCCTTTGTTCCCCTATTTTTTGCGCCTGTGTGCCTCCTTACTGGCCCACTATGGGGGTTGGTCATTTGATTCGAGCAGTCGGTTTGTCTTAGTTGTTATTCAGTGACTATGTAGCTGCCCAACATACCCATTCTTTATCATATTTTCCTAGGCATCCTTTCAGCTTACTAGCCATTTTCTCGTATACACTAATCACATTCATTTTGTTGATAATCACCTCTATCTGAGGAACTTGTTTGCTTTTCCAGTTACCGACTAAGGCTACTTTTGCTACCGTTAATATATTTAGAATCACTTTTTTGTGAGGGTGTGTGTCTAGGTTTGGTATAACGTGTAGTAAGTACTTTTCCGGTCGCAAGGGGATGGAAGTGCTAGTCTTACTTGAGATCAGGGTTTGGATTTGTTTCCAGAAGCCGTCTAGCAACGGGCATTTCCAGAACATGTGTAACATGGTTCCAGTGTCCGACTCGCATCTCCAGCACAAGTTCATAGCGCCTGAGTACATACTCGCTAGTCTCTGTGGTACCAGATACCACCTCATAGTTATCTTGCAGTAGGCCTCCCATAACGAGAGGCTACTCGATGCCTGTTTTGTATTTGCCCTTACAAACTGCCATTCTGCTTGGGAGATTTGAAATCCTAGGTCCTGCTCCCATTTTGCCTTGTATTTCAGTTTATCTGGGGTGTTATCTGTGATAAGCGCATTGTAACATAGGGAGAGGGGTTTTGCTACTTTTGTCAGAGATAGGTGGCTTGGTTGGAGTGCTGGAGAGTCAGTTCGAGCGGCTGTTTGTTTACCATGGGTTAATATGTTTTTGATTCTTACATAAAGGTAAAGATCTCTCAAGTCTAAACCCAGTTCCTCTTTTAATTCAGGGAATGGTTTCACCGCGTCTCCTGACATTAAGTCCCTCACTAATCTCGCTCCCTTGTTGAGCCATTTGCCCACCTGTATGCCCGGGGAGTAGGCTGCTAATGTTGTGATGGGTGCCTCCCTAAAGAGCCGTACCGGGTCCAGCACCCTCGGACACCAGGCCTTCCATGCTTTAAGCATGGTGATCGAGCATCTCAGGGTCGTGCCCGCAGATGTTCGAGGCGAGGAGCATGTCCACAAGTAGTGGACTGTGTCATGCGCCTCTAGGCATACATTTTCTAATGACAGCCAGAGCGGTTTACGAGGGAGGTTGTGGTTTTTCTAATTGATATAATGATGCATAGTACTTCGCTAGTTCATTCACTATTGTCTTGGGGGTTGTATAGTTTATCCCCAGTTGTGGAGGTTATGTACGGGATTTTAGATTGCAATTTTATTTGTTTTGCTTTATTGGCCAACATTCTCCCAGCTTTATTGCCCATGACATAGTGTGATTGCTTCAAAAACCTCAAGTGTCGTTCTGTTGCTGCGAGGTTGAGGCTATGTAGTGTTGTGCGAAGTGACATCAGTCGCTTATGTGTTGCCATTGTGGGGTTTGTTTTATGGGTGGATTCTACTGTGGCCAGGTCTTTCTCTACCTTGTTCAATGTTGTGCAGCCTCTTTGTTCTAGCCCCTATTTGGATTAATTCTCCCCTCATGACTGCCTTATGGGCCAGCCATTTTGTAGCGTCGGATGACGAGCAGTTAACGTGGTCTGCGAAAAATTCCTCTGCCCGGGCCTGTAGTCGCTGGAGATGTGCCGGCACATCTAACAGACCTTCATTCAGGCGCCACGTGCCTCGACCCCTAGCTGGGTACGGAATTTGCACGGTGACAACATATGGGGCATGGTCAGACCACGTGATCGGCCCAATGTGTGCCTTAATGGCAAAGGGCAACGTTTTGGTGTCTAGTAGGCAGAGATCAATTCTTGTGTAGGTCCTATGGACCGTCAAGTAGTACGTGTAGTCCCTCCCGCTTGGGTTCAAGCCTCTCCAAGTGTCATAGAAGTCATACCCATGCAGTAATTTCCTAAAGTGTTGGCCTAGTGAGATTGAATGTTGTTGTGGTAATTTGTTCCCCTCTCGTTTTATATCGACATCGGGATCTGGAGCGCAATTAAAATCCCCGCATATAATTGTATGGCCCACTCTGAGCTTGTCAATTTTCCTAAATACTTTGCTGAGGAAGGTTTTTTGCTTATCGCTCGGCGCATATATGGAAGCTATAGTCACCGATAAACCATTTAGGGAACCCACTAATATTAGTATTCTCCCGTCTCGACTGGCAAATTGATTGGATGGTGTGAATGCCCAATCCCTATGGAAATAGATAGCAACTCCTTTAGCTTTAGTGTCGGACATGGCATGGTAACCTTGGGGATAGTGTTTGATAGTGAATTTTGGGTGTTTTCTAATGCAGAAGTGTGTCTCTTGGAGACCTATAATTGCTGCCTTGGATTTGTTCATTTCCTGTACCGCTAGTCTCCTTTTATGTGGGCTGTTGAGACCCTTAACGTTTAAGGTGAGGATTGCCAGAGAATCATCCATGATCCTGGTGTAGTGTTTTGCTGTACTGGGGCCTTGGGGTGTCATTCGCTTCTTGCAACATGTGGTATGCTACTGGTCCGGGACCTAAAGGAGGGAATGTAGGGGCAGTGGACAGGAATACGGGAAGGGAGAAATAATAACTAAAGTATATACAAAGCGCCTTGGAGAGAACTAGCGCTCTACGTGGGTGAGGTAAGCGGGCAAACTCTACCCAGCTCACTTCTCATCCTGGGGTCGCACCTGGGTGGTTCGGCCGAGTGCGTGACAGCCTTTCTCTAGGTATACTTATTCCTACCCCACAATCATGTCTGAGATGTCCAACCAGGACTATTTAGTCACAGACTGCACCCTCTCCTCCGTCTCGCCACCTTGTATACACCATGCTGGCACAGAGCCTATACAATACACATTGTCTGAGTCGTGACTTCCGCACCCTATAACCTCCTTCTTGCTGTAGTAATTATAGAGTTGTGTCACTACCGTCCCCTTTGTACCTGCCCTGATTCCCCACCCGCTGGGTTTAACAAGTTTGGTCATCCCCGCTGCTTAAGGCCTTACTCCTTGGACAGTAGGGACTCGCGTACATTGTGTTACATAAAGAGGTTCAGAATGTAATACTCACAATCCAGTTACATTAGCATGTCATAGAGCGGAAGCTAGCATTCGGTTAGAGTGTCTCTTAGTGTCCAATTTTGCAGTGGGTTAGTGGTATGTCCTTGTTGGGTCCCGACCTGGAGCCCTATTCTTTCCTTTGCGGTGAGCCCGCCATCTGCCAGTCAGCATGCGGTCGTTTCGGGGATGCTGCAGTCGAAGCGTCCCTCGTTGGTAGCGGGAATAGGCCCCATTCTTTCAGTAAGCGCACTCCCACCTCCGGTTCGTTGACGATATGCGTTTTGGCATTCCTCCATATAAGTAGTTTTGTAGGATAGCCCCATCTATATTGTATGTCGTTGTTTCTCAGGGACTTTGTTACGTTGATGAACTCTCTGCGTCTGCCCATTGTCATAGCTGACAGGTCTGCGTATAGTTGAACACCTGTATACGGTTCAGGCAACACAGTAATTTTCCTCGCCGCCTGCAGTAGATGGTCCTTCGTCTTGTAGTAGTGGAAGCGAGCGACCACGTCGCGTGGCGTATCTTGATGCAGATTTTGCGGTTTTGGTAGCCTGTGGGCTCGGTCCATGAGCCATTCTGGGTCCAATATCTCCGGCGCCAGTGACTTGCACAGGGAAGTAAGGTATTGAGGCAGTTGATCTCTCGTGACGCTTTCTGGAATACCACGAAAGCGTATATTGTTTCTGCGTGAGCGATCTTCCATGTCCGCTAATTTCCTTTTCAGGAACTGCTGTTCACTCACTAATTGTTGCACCGTGTCTGCCAGGGCGTCTTGCGCTGCGCATATGTCATCAGTTCGGGTTTCCAGATTGTTTGTTCTTTCCCCCAGATCTGCTATTTCTTTCGTAATGTCATTTGTGGCTTTTTTCAAATCAGACTGCAGGATGAGCCTGAAATCTTTCAGCATTGCATATAACTTCTTTTCTGTGACTGGGACATCAGTGTAGCCTTGCTCCTCATACTCTGTGGGAGGGTTTGAGGCCTGTGAGGATTCCAGCTCCTCGCCGCCGCCATCTTGCACCGGCCGTGACCGGTCTTTTTTCGCGTGGCGGATCGGGTCCATCAGCTTCGTTTGTTTTGCCGGGGCCATGGGAGGTAAGGGAGAGGTACCTCGCCTGTTTCTCGCCGTCAGCCGGGGGTAAGAGCTGCTATTAATCACGCTGTTGCCGTCTCGGACCGGGGGCTCTCACTCCATGCGTCCGTTCCTCTCGGCTGTCGGACACGCCCCCCGCTTACATGATTTCTCAGTATGTACCATTGGGTAATAAATATATATTAAAAAAAACAAATTAAAACCAATGTGGCTTAGTAGAGAAGTAAAACAAGAGATTAAAAATAAGAAAAGGGCGAACGGGGGTGTGGCCGACAGCCAGACGAGATGGCCGCATGTTAGCTCGGCTCTGGCAAAGCAGGCACGTACTGTTATGGACAAAAAAAATAAAATAAAATGGCTATTTACTAATGTCTATTTATTCTGTGTTAAACTGGCTGCTAGAGTAAAACTTCCCTTCCCCCCCCTACAATGTGTTCAGTAACTATTTTCTCTGCAAATTCCTCCCATCCTGCTATCCTCCCCCCTTCCCATTGAGCAAGCCAAGTGTGACAAATTCCTGTGTTAAAAGAACAGCTTCCTTTATTAAACTCCTCCCCCACTTCCTTTGTGCAAATTAACAGCTATGTGCCACATGTAACAAAATGGAGAATCGCTGTTAAAGTAACCGTTTCCTCTTCAGCCCCTCCCTGTTCAGTAACTACTACTCACTCCCATCGTGTAACCAAAATGGAGCTGGAATATGGGTGGGAGAACTCTAATGACGACACTACATCCTGTAGGGGGGGTTTAGACAAGACCCCTTAGACTGTTAACCAATTGTTGAATTAATATTGTATATTAACTGTGACTCTGTACATGACTTATTTCTGCTTTAAAAGGGGCTCCCACTCCGGGGAATAAAGGTTTCCTCAGGTTTTTCACTAATCAGAAACTTTTTCTCCGGTGTGAATTACTTCTAGGAAGAGCGTGCACGCATTAATCAATTTGGAAGGAGTAGATAGACAAACTCAAAAGTTTTCTTTGATCTAAATCAGTAATACCGCTGGAATCTGAGCTGACGCCACAATGGGGAATCCCAAAAGATCCCAAAGCGCCCACACGAGCAGCGGGAAGACACCCGCGGAGAAACCGGGCTCGGTTTCAAAACTAAAGATTATGCCGGCCACATGGTCGGAACACGGCGGGACAAACATGCCGCCGACGGAGGGAGAGCTCCTCTCCAACCCTCCTAGCCCGGCGGCCTCCGACACCTCGGCAGCATCCACAGACCTGGACATTAAAAATATACTAAGAAACCTACCCAACAAGGCAGATATTGCTGCAATGCTGTAGAGACTGGAAAAATCTTTTCAGAGGAGGGTGGAAGGCCTTGGCTCCGAAATCAGGCAGGTAGGCCTGTGTACAAGACCTGGAGACAGATAGAGATCAGGTACAGACCCAACTACACACCCTGTAAGACCAACGAAATGCAAATGTCACAGCTCCAAAGAGCACTAGATGACAGACAACAGAGGGCGCAGAAAATCTTAGAATCAAGGGCCTGCCTGAATCTGAGGCTGAAGACATGCAAGCTTCACTGCAAGAGTTATTCAACTAATTATTAGAGCAACCTGCAGCAACACCAATCCACTTTGACAGAGTGCACCGATCGCTCAGACCTAGGGGCAATAATGGGGGCACCCCAAGAGAAATCATATGCCACCTGCACTACTTCACAGATAATGACCGCATACTCAAAAAACTGCAGGATACCAATCCACCATTGCTGTTCCATGGGCACGAGATCCAAATCTACCAAGATCTCTGGCTAACCCTCTAGGCAAGGAGGCACCTAAAACCGATCACTGACCAACTGCGGGCAAGACACATCAGGTACAGATGGGGTTCCCCCTAGCCCTTATTGTAACACTCAAAGGGACCAACCAGATCATAGCAGAACATAGAGATGTGACACCATTCACTAGAGCGCTGAAACTTGCGGATGTACACATTATGGACTGGTATGCGACGGACCCAGCGCAGCCCCTGAACCTTCAACCAAGGGAACAGCGGAGACACTCACCGCCCAAAAGGCAGAGAACAGACACATCAGATAACTGAGGAGATGATGTCCGCTCACCTGCTCAGTAGACATAAGGGACTACAACACACAATGGAACTTTCCTGAGATGTTCTGCAATTAACCTCGCATACAAACCCAAAACGACTGACAAACCATGAACTACAGTAGGACTCCGTGACATTACACCAGGCCCCAGCCGAAGCACCACATCACCAAAACTACAGGGACATAACTTTGAGGGGTAATCCGCGGAGGGAGCCACCGCTGCCATACAAGAAAGTAGAGCTGGGCCTGACTGAGTCACTCACCTCCATATCACTCCTCAAAGTCGTACAGAGGAGCACGAGAGACTTGCATGGAACAGGTCGTATGCCCATAAATGCACGGTTTACGTATGACATATTGTTGTATGCCTCACTCGGTAACACAAGCTCCCTAAAGCCTCTTGAACGCACAAAAGTGGAGGTTGGCCAATTTATGATCACCACCGCTCCGCTCACACAAGGCCACATCCAGGAGACAAAAAGATAAAAGAAAAGAAAATATAAATATTTTATTCTTGATATAATTATGAGGTAACCAAGACATCTCTGAATGGGAGCCTGGCTCCCACCCTCGCCTCACACCTTCCCCCTCACTCACCTCCAGCACTAACCGAGCACAACGAATGCAAGTGCCTGCTTGCCCACCGACACATGCACGCCACACACCAACTATACAGCACACACACTCCTTCAGTCCCACAGGCTGCACCATCACACCTCACGTTTCCTCAGCTTTACACCTACACTATCTCACACGTACATGCTCTTACAATTGTTCACAGGTACGTCCGGAAATATAGAGAATCCGGACAGGGGAAGCACACGCCCCCAGACAACTATGGCAGAGTGTAAGACTGTTCAATTTATCTGCTGACTGTTAACGCTGTCTTGCCTTCAGCTAAAAAGGTGCACTACAAAAAGGCGCCAAAGACAAGGTTGCACCACATTACATGACTGCAACTGCCTAAGACCCGGGAAAGAGTGCCTCAGCTACGACAAGAGGGAATCAGACTGCGCAACAAAGTAGGTGACCACACAAACTCCTAGAGCCACGCCCATAAATGACTTTAAAAATAGTTTCCCTCAACGTCAAGGGCCTGAACATCCCGAATAAATGTAGGCTACTGCTAAGAGACCTGAAAGCACGCCAAACCGACATGGCCCTTATCCAAAAGATCCACATCCCCAGGACAGCGACAATAACACTGAGAGACAGACATTACCCCCAGACCCACAAAGCAAGAGCATTACACAAACGAGCTGGAGTGGCAATATTAGTACACAAAAACTGCCCACTCCAAGTGACAGACACACAAACTGACCCTGAGGGCCGCTACATTGCTATAACAGGCACGATACACAGCACAAAAATAAGGATCATAAATGTGTATGCCCCAAATGGCCCAGCTCCTGCATACTGGGACAACCTCACGAAATTATCAATGCAGACGGGGGAGGGATAACAGTGGTAGGGGGCGACTTTAACGCTGTACCAAGTCCAGCTATCGTCAGGAGCACGAAGACAGGCTCACCCAGGTCCCAGGGGAGAGGTGCACAAGATAATTTACTGCATACATTCCTCACTAACACACAACTCCTAGACGCCTGGAGGCTCGAGCATCCAGACACACGTGACGACACGTTCTATTCAGCGCCCAACGGCACATACTCGAGAATCGATCACATATTTCTCAACGGTGTAGGGATGTCCAAGCTAGCGCATATCGACATTGGCAGCATCACCTGGTCGGACCATGCGGATATCACAGTTCCATTAGACAAACTCAAGTACTCCGCCACATGGACCTAGCGTCTTAACACAAGCCTACTAAACAGCGACACCATATGTGAAGACACACGCAATCTCATTAGAGAATACTAAGCGGTCCTGAGGGGTCATTTCATAAAAGTAGCAACACCTGTGCACTACTAGAATTTCAGGGTGCCCTAAGAAAAGCAGAACAGCAACACAAACATCCCACACCTGAAAAATTAGCCAAACTCACCGCCCTCAGACACTTAATCAGGGGGATCCTGCTTGAGGGGGTCGCACACTCTATCCAGAGATCCAGACGACTATTTTACAAAAAGTCCAACAAAATGGACTCTCTATTGGCAAGAGCACTGCGATCCCGAGGAGACCACAAACCTATCACAAAGCTATGCACAAACAACCAGGAACTAGCAGAGACTCCCCGAGACATAAATAGGGTATTCACG